AAACGTCATACTGCAGATGTCGAAGGTTTTAAAAGCAGAAGGGCTCGGTTACAACCTACTAAGCGTCAGTCAACTGATGGCGAAGGGCATACACCTCGAAGCAGATAGCACCACTCAGGAGTTCAAGTTATATAACGGGAAAGGCGGTCTCTACATCGGGAAGGCGGTCCTGAAGAATAACGTCTTCGTCCTCGATTTCGTCCCAGATCTCGGCACCGCTGACAGCGACGGGATTGTCACCTTCACCTCCTGGACACACCCACCAGATCTTGACCCCGACTTCAGTCCAGAAGGCTTCTGGTACTCGCACACCATCCCTGAGACAGAACGAACAAGAGCATTAGCAACAATTCAACACTCGGCAGCAGCAAAGACAACATCAGCAGCAGCAGAGACAACATCGGCAGCAGCAGAAACAACGGCAGCAGCAGCAGCAACATCAACACCAATCGCTGGTCCTTCAACTGCATCGGCTCAAATCGACGACACTCCACCGACTCCTGCGCAACAGCTTAACCCAACACCACGAGAAGTACATCGAAGTGCAAACTTCACCGCAAGCTTCTACTCCAACTCCGACTTGTATCGTCGCTCACCCGGACATCGCGCTAGCGAAGACATCTGGCACGCACGAATGGGACATCCAAGTAACACGGTGTTAAACAACACAATCAGAGCAGGAGTACTCGACAAAGATTCACTACTCCTAACCGATGGAAGCGAACTTCGACGAGCGCGTGGAACGTGCTTTACCTGCCCCGAAGCTGACTTACCACGTCGGCCATTTACTTCTCACCACAACCCTAGCGCACCAACTTACGCACCACTTGAGAAAGTGTATAGCGACATTCTGTACAATCGCGAACCTGGACAAGGAGCATACAGCTACACCATCACGTTCATCGATGCCGCTACGCGTTACGTTTGGCACCTTAACCTTCCGAGCAAGGACATGGCTTTCGAGGCCTTCGTCGCTTGGCTCCCAGTAGCAGAACGAGAATCAAGCGTGAAACTAAAAGGCTTCCAGTCAGACGGAGGAGGAGAATACACCTCACAGAGGTTCAAGCAGTACTTGGCAGAAAGAGGAATCAAGAGGCTCATCTCGCTTCCCTACGCCCATCAACAGCAAGGCGTGGCAGAACGGATGAATCGAACTCTCCAGAACACCATGCGCAAATTACTGCGTGGCATGCGACTGCCCAATCACCAATGGCCTGAGGCGATGGACCACGCTGTCATGCTGCACAACTTGCTTTCGTCGTCATCACTACCGAACAACGCATCACTGCACCTGCTGTGGACAGGAAAACAGGGCAGCACAAAAATGTTAATAGTCTTCAGCTGCATGGTACAGTATCGCCCACACACTGCAAGAGCCGGAAGATTTTCTCAACGCGCACAGTGGGGACTACACCTGGGCATCGAAAGAAATTACAACGCGTGGAAGATTTTCGACGTCCACTCCAAAGAAACAGTAGCAGCACGTGATGTCATTTTCTACGAACGACTCACCCTTCCGACGTATCTTGCCAACCTGGAAGAAGATCGGGATCCCAAAAGGTGGCTTCCGTGGTGACCGAGCCTTCGCCTCGGCAACAGACGAAGCTGACTGGGACGAGCAGAACGTGGATGAAGCCTCAGAGGAAGCTGGACCTCTCCCTTACTGCTCCGTCAATGTCCCAATGGATGACGAAAATCCTCGCGAAAGCGCCAACGCCGACGTATTTTATCACTTCGCCGACAATGGTTACGTTACACCCGCAGAAGTCAACACCAACGAAGCAGAACGCATAGGGCCTAACTTCATACCTGACCCAGAAACAGGTGACGAAGCAGCTTATCCCGCGGACACAACTCTTCCCCGCTACACACAGAGTGGCCTCCAGATACTCGGTCTCGTCACCGCGGTCCACGGCACGGAGATTCCTAAGGAGCCTGCCACAGTTCAGCAGGCTCTGGGGGGGGAGCATAGGGGAAAATGGCGTGAAGCCATGGACAAGGAACTGAAAGCACTGAAGGAACGCAACACCTGGAAAGTCGTCCCTATCGGCGTGGCACGAAACAAGACAGTACTCACCGGGAAGTGGGTCTTCCGTGTGAAGACAAAGGCAGACGGCACCATCGACAAGTTTAAAGCGCGCTGGGTCGTACGCGGTTTCGACCAAGAGCACGGACGTGACTTCACCGAGACATTCGCTCCGGTCAGCCGACACACTTCACTACGAATTCTCCTCGCGATCGCCGCCATGAAGAAAAAGAAACTGCGGCAAATTGATGTCGCCAACGCATTTCTCTACGCACCTGTCGACGCAGAAATCTTCGTCGAACTACCACATGGCTCCAACGGAGAACCTAATCACGTCTGTCAGCTCCAAGACTGTGGCAGCAGTACCTACACGCTCGACTTACTCGCATCGGATTCCAGCAGCTACCGCACGACCAAGGCATGTACCGGCTCACGAAAGGCGACGACTATGTTCTACTAATCGTCTACGTAGACGATCTACTCTACATCGGGTCGACCGACAACGTCACTACCTGGTTCGAAGGGGAGCTACAGAAAGACCTCACGCTCACAGTCTCATCTACCGTCACGCAGTACCTCGGCCTCAACATCCAGGAAGGAGAAAGCGCGATCTACCTCAACGCCGCAAAATATGCCGACACCATCGCCAAACGCTTCGCACTCACGCCAACTACCATCTCCACGCCATACCGCTACACGGCAGGAAGTCACAAGGAAGACTCCACTCCACCCAAGCCTGCCAGGATACGCGACTACCAGAGGAAGCTGGGATGCCTTCTCTTTGCGGCTGTCACCTGCCGCCCGGACCTATCATACTCCGCAAGTCAACTCGCCACCTACCTCAAAAGGCCTGAAGTTGAACACATGACGGAACTCGACCGTGCCCTTCACTACCTCGTTAGCACTCCAACGATCGGCCTGACCTACTACAAGAACAGAACTACAACGCCCAAGTTAATCGGCTACGTCGACGCTGACCACGCCGGAGATTCTGACAACAGGCGCTCGCGCACAGGCTACATCTACCGCCTCAAGCCTATCGGACCTATCTCGTGGCAATCGAGTAAGCAGGAATTAATCGCTCTCTCCTCAGCCGAAGCAGAATATATCGCACTCTGCTCAGCCACCAAGGAAGGATTGTACCTTCGCGAACTCCTGGAGGAGGCGAAGCTGGCTCAGTTACCCAGCTTCTCCCTGTTCTGCGACAACCAGTCGGCAATTCGGATAGCCAACAAAAACGGATTCGCGAACAGGACGAAGCATATCGCCCTGCGATATTTCTTCGTGAAGGACGAGATCGAGAAGGGGAGACTTGAGCTGTCTTACTGTCCCACGTCCGAGATGGCAGCTTATTACTTGACCAAGAAACTCGGAAAACAGAAGTTTGAGTACTGCATGCTGCTGACTGGACAGAGCCACGTCACCAGCAGCGACACTCCAGAAGCGAAGGGGAGTGTTGGAAACAATTGATTTAAGCGCCTCGGTCGTGTCGAAACACCAAGTCAGAAGCGAAGCAGAACATATCGAAGCATCAGCGAGTCAACCCTCGGAGGTTGAACAACTGCTGGAGGTTACGCGAAAGTCAAAGGTCAGCGACCTTTGACCTGACAAGTACAGCGCGACAGCAAGGACAAACAACTGACTCGCTATTGAGCAGTTGCCCGAGTCGTCACTGTATCGAACCGCAAGAGCAATGGTAAAACGGTTATTAGTTATAACCCTTCATATTCCCTTGTATTCTTATAAAAGCTTGTATCTCTTTGCTATTAATCAATCTACTTTGCCCTCACATACTAGCGCAAGGTGGTTCACAAACTTCTCATTTAACGCTTCCGCTATTACATTGTCCTACTCAGAATTTAGTCCTCAAAGATCCTAAGGGTTTTTCTCAGCCCAACACACCTCAAACTATTAGATGGTATTCTGGGTTGGTGTCAATCTGCGGTTGGTGTCAGACGCCAAACGCGCTTGACACCAGGTGGAGCCGCTCCCTCACGCGGCTCCAGCCTGATGTCAATGTTAGGCACATTTGGCGAATTCCCGCACTCTCATTGGTCGGTTTAGTTGACACCAAGTGGAATATTCCTCCACCAGTTTTCAGTTGACACCAACACAGATTGACAAGAGCCTGGAATATGACCTTAGAACCAGTGACTAGATTTACGCCTAAGAGCACAAATATTGCGCATGCAGTGTACTGCCCCTACCAACTCCTCCACTGGAGTCGCATAAAACTGCGGATGTGTTACATTCCTGTAATAAGCCTGGTTTTGAAAGAACTCCTTATTCATCACATCTATAAGTTGTTTCATTATGTGTTTAGTTGTAGTGTTCAAGCCAGGAGGACCGCCCCTGTAACACCCTGTAACGTGGCACTTGGTGTAGTAAGACATCTCCACGTCCTCAATAAAGTACGTCCCTCCAGGCTGATAAGATTCGATGAAGGATGGGAGGCAAAGGGAGGGGAATTGACACGGGAACGAGAAGGAGGCTTGAAAAGGATGTGGTGTGGGGCGAAAGGAGGTGGGGATGAGAAAGGTGCCCTCAGGCTGTTTCAGCATCCCTGCTGCAACACGCCCATCCATGGTGGAAGAGGAATGTATGGGAAATTATTGCAACAGTATGTGCGAAAGGCTCTGGTACAGGGAACAAGGAGGAGAATGAATATGGTACATTTGTAAATACTGCAGAGGGGAGAAAAGGGTAATGGTTGCAGGTCAGATGGTAGAGGAAATAACAAAGTGGTACATTTATAAATACTGCAGAGGAAAGAAAAGGGATGATACGGTAGATGCAGGTAAGCTTAATTACTCTCAGCGAGTGAAGATATTTGCCAAGGTACCTTGACAGGCGGCGGAAGGTACCTTGACAGGCGGCGGAAGGTACCTTGACAGGCGGCGGAGGGTACCTTGACAGGCGGTGGAAAGTACCTTGACAGGCGGCGGAAGGTACCTTGACAAGCGGCAGCACGTACCTTGACCAGCGGTAGAAGGGGTTTGAGGGATGTCTGTTGCTGATCCATGGTGTGACCACCATCGTCCACTATGAAGTCAAGCAGACCCGCCTGAAACGAGTCACAACACAGTAATAAGATATGAGTCAATGCAATAACAAGAAAATATTCACAACATAGTAACGAGGACAAGGATACCCAAGAAAAGCAGAATGATTAACATTATAAAGGGCAACCACGTTGCACATGCACACCATGCCAAGCACATTATGCCATGCAGACCATACCATGCTGAACATACCATGCAGAACACACCATGCACCATACCATGCACATCATGCCATGAACACCATGCCATGAACACCATGCCATGCACACCATACATTTTCTAATCAACATACCCATCAGTGCCATCTCCACCACCCCATGATTCGCAAATACATCCCATTGCCGAGCATGCCGCACAGAAACCGAATCTCACCTCCTCTCTTTCTGGCAGCCGACCATGCGCACCACTCTCCGTGTCTCAGCCACCACTCCTCACAGCGCTCATTTTCTCAGCCACCACTTCTCACCGCACGCTTTCCCCAGACATCGCTCCTCACACCACTCTTATTTCGGCCACCAATCCTCACCATACCCTTTACCTCGGGCACCACTCCTCACCGCACACTTTCTCCCAGCCACCACTCCTCACCGCCCTCTTCATCGCAGCCACCACTCCTCACTGCACTCTTTATCTCAGCCACCACTCCTCACCGCACTCTTTGTCTCAGGCACCGCTCCTCACCACACTCTTTATCTCAGCCACCACTCCTCACCGCACTCTTTATCTCAGCCACCACTCCTCACCACACTCTTTATCTCAGCCGCCACTCCTCACCACACTCTTTATCTCAGCCACCAATTCTTACCTCACTCTTTATCTCAGCCACCACTCCTCACCGCACTCTTTATCTCGGCCACCACTTGCTCCAGGAACGTCCCATTTGCCTGGTCGCCCACCATCAGCCGCACCCGCGGGTCCCTCGCCTCTGCCTGGTGCTTCTGCAGAGGTGCGGACATGGGGGATAGGCATGGGATGGGCACGAAATGGGCATGGGATAAACATGGCCAGAAGGTGCGGAAGAGACCCCATCATCCGCACCCGCTGGTCCCAGGCCTCTGCCTGGTGCTTCTGAGGCCATGAGGGGCGTAGAGGATGGGGATGGGGGATAAACATGGCCAAGAGGCAGAAAAGAGAAGTTATCAGCTGCACGTGCAAATCCTGCACTTTGCCTGGTGCTTCCGCGACCATGCGGGGCGTAGGGTATGGGGATCGGGAATAAACATGGTGAGGAGGCAGGGAAAAGAAGCCATCAGCCGCACCTGTGGGTTCCGTGCCTCTTCGTGTTGCTTCTGCGGCAACAGAGAAGCGAAGTGGGTGGACAGGGGATGGACATGGAACAGGCAAGAAAATGGGCGGGGATGGACATAAACCACACCTCTCCCTGGTGCTTCTGGGTTGAAAAGCTTTGAAAGGATATGGTGCCCTGTGTACAACACATCATAAAAACCAAATGCCAAACACTTCATGACTTCTTTGTGTCCCCTTGAACAAGGAGAGCGGAGATGCAAAACTACGTCACTTCCGTTTCCGGGACTTAAACCCGGGTTTCTCGGGTGAGAGCCGAGTATCCTAACCGACTAGACTACAACGGAGTTGTTGTGGGTATTCTAACAATATATTTATCATGATTTTCTATATTTGATAAAATACTACACCTTCAAAACGACTCTGTTTTAATCCCGTAGATCCTGCCTCTTGAAAAAGCCCGCTTCCAGAGCTTCAGCGAGTCACCGTATTTGAGCCCGATCTCCAGCATGTTCACCTCGGCAACCTCCCACGCCAATTGCTCCCGCTTCTGCACGCGTAATCTTCTGTTGATATTAGTATCATGGGACTGTCGCGGCAGGCGCAGCGGGTCGAGGTAGAGTCTATAGAAGGCGCCGTAGTGATGCGTGCGCTTATCGGACGTGCCTTGGTTGACGATCTCTTCGAAGGAGACGAAAGGCTGCAGGCGGGAGAATCACGGAAAGGGAGACCGGTTTCGCTATAAAAAGATCCTTCTCTGCACAACCAGTAATTACTCGAGATAACTCTTTAGTACCTCCTACGATGAGGCTTTTGAACAGGAGAAATACCTCTTGCACTGCACGCGGCGCATCGCGGCAGTTTCCGAGAAGGTCAAGGGCGATGTACGCCCACGGAAGAAGGTAGAGGAGGGTCAAGACGCCTCCCCCCAAAGCTAGAATCCACACCCCAATCTTGCCCATCTTCTGACGATCCCGCCGCGTAGCTTTTCGCGTAATTTAATACACACACATACAAACCACAATGAGGAAAATTGCGTATGGCTGATTCCTCGTCCATAAAGAAAACGCTCATTTCTTCCTGTCATACGAAAGGAGCCTGCTGCTGGCGTGCTGCTGACGTTGTGTTCTGACATGAGCGAGGTGAGCAAGAGTTGGTAAGTGAATCCGAGCTTGCGGCGGATGTGTTGTGCCTGCGGTTGCGGCATGCATGCCGCGAGTTTCTTTGTGCTGCCGATGCCATCCTCGACAAGATCGCTTTGCTTGAATGTACTCGTAGGTGTTTACTGGGAGTGATTGGAACAATATACAAAGTTCGTTTTGAACTGAACCTGAATTTTACATTCGACCCGATGTTTTCTGTTCTGTTGAATATGCTTTGACCTTTTAGATCTCCGTCAGTGTATACAAGGGGTATAGTAGAACAGCGGAGAGAGGCCAATAACGGATGTACAAGAATATAGAATCAATGTTTTCTGACAGACGATCGTGTTGCTAGCATTTTCGAACAGAGCTTCTTTCGATGCAAGCTTGACCTCAAATGTCTCCAGATCGCTCGATCGCGTGAGCTGCTGCATCCCTTGCCTTTGCTCAAACTCGTCGAGTTGCCTCAAACTCCGTCTAAGCGCCGTTAACGTTATCGGCTTCCCAAGCTCACTCTCCAGTCTCTGCTTAGCCGCTAATCTGCGAGCCTTCGACATCAGATCAAAGCCGTAGCTTGAGTGCGAAGGTCTTGTTGATGGAGCCGCGTGATGGCCCGCAGTCAAGCACAAGCACGGAGACCAAAGCCAGGCGTCGCGACGGCAGATGATTCGAAAAGCGTCGCTGACGGCAAACCAGGCGATGCTTCCGGTAACGTCATCATCGCTCCGCCGCTGAACAGATGGTCGAGGCGCGTCCGCGTGGGGATCTTCGCGGCGTGCGTCCTGACTCCCCTTATAGTGGCGTTTCTCGTAATGGAGCTTGATCCGTTAGAGCGACGGTCCATTACAATCAACGCCGTCATGAGCGTCGCGGGATTCGTTATAACGACGAAGCTGATTCCGATGGTGGTGCCTTAAATGCTGCGAAGAAACATGTTCGGATACGATATAAACAAGCGAGGTTCCCCGGCTGGGGAAATCAAGATGTGAGTATAACGAAAGGCCGCCAGCGAGGTTGGTATCTGGTGTAGTTGTGTCAAGGAGGATCGTTTCCAAATGTGATGGTAACATGACTGGAGCTGTTTTTTTAGAATTCTCAAAATCTGTTTTTTGAGAATTCTAAAATAACAGTGACTGGAGTGTAAGTATGTGATCGTTTCCATCGGAAATCTCAGCTAGCTCGTGCACTCTCATTATAGTGAAGGTTGGTGGAGGAGAAAAAGGTTGGGGGGAGTGGGTAGGGAGGGGGGAGGTGGGGAGGGGGGAGGTGGGGAAAGGGGCAAGTGGGGGTTGGGTATCTGTTGTTTGCATTGTGATCTGCTGTGACGGTGTGCGGCATCAATATGATAGGCCGTCGTCCATTCTGGCAATTTCAGGGGTGAGTGGAGTGTAAGTAACCTGGTAACCCAGTAACCGGGTAACGTGGGTCCGCCGGTGACCATGGTGTACGTCTTGGGAGACTAGGTGGGCAACATTGTGACTTCCCCTTGTCAGCCGTGCGCTTCCCTCCCCCCCCTTGTCAGCTGTGCGCTTCCCTTCCCCCCCTTGTCAGCCACGCACTTCGCTTCCCCCCTGCGCTGCGGTGTGCTTTCCTCACCCACACTGCATGCGCAGACCCGAGACGCAGGGACTGGTGGTGGCGCTCGTGTATCTGGTTGGAGACTGGGTCGGTAGGTAGCACTGTGACTTGCCCCCCATGACCCCATGCCCCCCATGACCCCATGCCTCCATGCCCCCATCCCCCACACTCCCCAGACAGACCCGAGACGCAGGGACTGGTGGTAACCATTCTCTTCCAGCACTTCTACTTCACGCCTGACTCGCCTGTGAGTGCCTTCCCAGGTGATTCTTCAGGTGATTGTTCAGGTGCAGCAAGCTCAGGTAAGACCTGCATGTTGTGGCGCAGGTAATCCCGATTTCACACTGCATTCTCCCCATGTCCTCCTCTGCTGCGTCTCCTCTCTCCCTTGCGTCCCCCTCCCCATTTCTCCCTGCCATCCCTCTCCTCTCCGTCACTCCCCGCCGTGCCTGTTGCAGTGGGCACAGCGCTGCCCTAGAGCGCATTTGCTCCGCTCCTGTCCCCCCCTCTCTCCCCCTCTATCCGCCCTCTCTCCTCCCCCTCACTCAGTGACTCCCTCCCAGTGGCTGCTCGAGTGCAACACACTCTCTGGCGTGCATCTGCTTCATGTCCCTGCCTGCTTCAACCTGCTTCAACCTGCTTCAACCTGCTTCAACCCGCTTCAACCCGCTTCAACCCGCTTCAACCCGCTTCAACCCGCTTCAACCCGCTTCAACCCGCTTCAACCTGCTTCTACTCGCTTCAACGTGCTTCAACCCGCTTCAACCCGCTTCTACTCGCTTCAACGTGCTTCAACCCGCTTCAACCCGCTTCTACCCGCTTCCCACTATCCCATCCACACTAGCCCACTATCTCATCCACACCCCCCCAACTGCACAGTGGCTGCTCGAGGACAACGCTCTCTCTGGCGTGCATCTGTTTCATGGCCTTCAACGGTTTCATTGATGATGCGCGCGCCATCCCCTGGTCGTCCACCCACCCATCCCCGTGCTCTCCTCACCCCTCCTCCCTCGCCCTCCCAGTGGCTACTCGAGTACAACGCTGCCCTGGCCTGCATCTGCTGCATGGCATTCCTCGGCTTCATTCCTCTGCTCTCCCCATCCCCCCCTCCTTTCCCCACGTTGCTCTCCCTGCTCTCCTCTCTCCCCCCCAACTCCAGTGGCTGCTCGATTACAACGCAGCGCTCGCCTGCATCTGCTTCATGGCCTTCCTGGGTTTCATAGACGACGTGCTTGGCATGCCCTGGCCGTCCACCCACTCCCGTCTGCGCTCCCTCCCCCCTCCCTTACCCTCACCTCCCAGTGGCTGTTGGAGTACAACGCTGCGCTCACCTGCATCTGCTACATGGCCTTCCTGGGTTTCATTCCCCTTCTCGCCCCTTCCCCCTCCCCCCTTTTCTGTACCTTGCTTTCCCTGCTCCTTACCGCACCACCACCCCAGTGGCTGCTCGAGTACAACGCAGCGCTCGCCTGCATCTGCTACATGGCCTTCCTGGGCTTTATAGACGACGTGCTCGACATCCCCTGGTGCGTGTGAGTGCTTGGAAGTGGTCCTGGGGGGTGGGGCCGGGATTTGAGACGTCTCAAGAAATGGCCTTCCTGGGCTTTGTAGACGACGTGCTCGACATCCCCTGGCGCGTGTGAGTGCTTGGAAGTGGTGCTGAGGGGTGGGGCCGGGATTTGAGACGTCCACCACCATCGTCATCCCCAAGCCTTCGCTTGTCGATCCACTTTTCAAGCCCTTTCCTTTTTTTCCTCCCTCTTGCCCCAATTTTCTCCCCACAGCAAGCTCGTTCTCCGCTCCATCACAGCCCTGCCTTCTCCTAATGGCCTACTCTGGCCACACTGCCATCGCCATCCCCAAGCCACATGGTTGCTTTGCTGCCACTCTTTGCCGCATGCTTGTCTTTCCCATTCCCCCCTTCCCCCCCAACAGCAAGCTCATTCTCCCCTCCATCGCGGCCCTGCCTCTCCTGATGGCCTACTCGGGCCACACCACCATCGTCATTCCCAAGCCGCTGCGCCCACTGCTGGCAGGGCTGGCAGGCGAGGAGGTGGCCGTGTGGGACCTGGGCGTGCTGTACAAGGTCTGCATGGGCATGCTCACCGTCTCGTCTCCCCCCCTCCAAACCCCATGCTGTTTCCCCCGCTTCCCGCCCCTTCCCGCCCCCTTTTCCGCCCATTCCCGCCACTTCCCGCCACTTCCCGCCACTTCCCGCCCCTTCCCGCCCCTTCCCGCCCCTTCCTGCCCCCTTTCCCGTCCCCACCTCCTGCCCCTTCTCCCCCGAAGCAAGCACATTCTGCCCTCCATCGTGACCCTGCCTCTCCTCATGGCCTATTCCGGCCACACCACCGTCATTCCCAAGCCGCTGCGCCCGCTGCTGGCAGGGCTGGCGGGCGAGGAGGTGGCCGTGTGGGACCTGGGCGTGCTGTACAAGGTCTGCATGGGCATGGCTAGGTGTTGCTATTCAACGTGTGGCAGACAGGCGGGCTGCCAGGCTTCAAGTTGGCTCTCTCTCCATCTCTCATTCACGTCTCTTTTCCCTCCTCACCCTTCTCCCCCCCCTTCCTCCCCCCACCCTCCCTCCCAGGTGTTGCTATTCAACGTGTGGCAGACAGGCGGGCTGCCAGGCTTCAAGTTGGCTCTCTCTCCATCTCTCATTCACGTCTCTTTTCCCTCCTCACCCTTCTCCCCCCCCTTCCTCCCCCCACCCTCCCTCCCAGGTGTTGCTATTCAACGTGTGGCAGACAGGCGGGCTGCCAGGCTTCAAGTTGGCTCTCTCTCCATCTCTCATTCACGTCTCTTTTCCCTCCTCACCCTTCTCCCCCCCCTTCCTCCCCCCACCCTCCCTCCCAGGTGTTGCTATTCAACGTGTGGCAGACAGGCGGGCTGCCAGGCTTCAAGTTGGCTCTCTCTCCATCTCTCATTCACGTCTCTTTTCCCTCCTCACCCTTCTCCCCCCCCTTCCTCCCCCCACCCTCCCTCCCAGGTGTTGCTATTCAACGTGTGGCAGACAGGCGGGCTGCCAGGCTTCAAGTTGGCTCTCTCTCCATCTCTCATTCACGTCTCTTTTCCCTCCTCACCCTTCTCCCCCCCCTTCCTCCCCCCACCCTCCCTCCCAGGTGTTGCTATTCAACGTGTGGCAGACAGGCGGGCTGCCAGGCTTCAAGTTGGCTCTCTCTCCATCTCTCATTCACGTCTCTTTTCCCTCCTCACCCTTCTCCCCCCCCTTCCTCCCCCCACCCTCCCTCCCAGGTGTTGCTATTCAACGTGTGGCAGACAGGCGGGCTGCCAGGCTTCAAGTTGGCTCTCTCTCCATCTCTCATTCACGTCTCTTTTCCCTCCTCACCCTTCTCCCCCCCCTTCCTCCCCCCACCCTCCCTCCCAGGTGTTGCTATTCAACGTGTGGCAGACAGGCGGGCTGCCAGGCTTCAAGTTGGCTCTCTCTCCATCTCTCATTCACGTCTCTTTTCCCTCCTCACCCTTCTCCCCCCCCTTCCTCCCCCCACCCTCCCTCCCAGGTGTTGCTATTCAACGTGTGGCAGACAGGCGGGCTGCCAGGCTTCAAGTTGGCTCTCTCTCCATCTCTCATTCACGTCTCTTTTCCCTCCTCACCCTTCTCCCCCCCCTTCCTCCCCCCACCCTCCCTCCCAGGTGTTGCTATTCAACGTGTGGCAGACAGGCGGGCTGCCAGGCTTCAAGTTGGCTCTCTCTCCATCTCTCATTCACGTCTCTTTTCCCTCCTCACCCTTCTCCCCCCCCTTCCTCCCCCCACCCTCCCTCCCAGGTGTTGCTATTCAACGTGTGGCAGACAGGCGGGCTGCCAGGCTTCAAGTTGGCTCTCTCTCCATCTCTCATTCACGTCTCTTTTCCCTCCTCACCCTTCTCCCCCCCCTTCCTCCCCCCACCCTCCCTCCCAGGTGTTGCTATTCAACGTGTGGCAGACAGGCGGGCTGCCAGGCTTCAAGTTGGCTCTCTCTCCATCTCTCATTCACGTCTCTTTTCCCTCCTCACCCTTCTCCCCCCCCTTCCTCCCCCCACCCTCCCTCCCAGGTGTTGCTATTCAACGTGTGGCAGACAGGCGGGCTGCCAGGCTTCAAGTTGGCTCTCTCTCCATCTCTCATTCACGTCTCTTTTCCCTCCTCACCCTTCTCCCCCCCCTTCCTCCCCCCACCCTCCCTCCCAGGTGTTGCTATTCAACGTGTGGCAGACAGGCGGGCTGCCAGGCTTCAAGTTGGCTCTCTCTCCATCTCTCATTCACGTCTCTTTTCCCTCCTCACCCTTCTCCCCCCCCTTCCTCCCCCCACCCTCCCTCCCAGGTGTTGCTATTCAACGTGTGGCAGACAGGCGGGCTGCCAGGCTTCAAGTTGGCTCTCTCTCCATCTCTCATTCACGTCTCTTTTCCCTCCTCACCCTTCTCCCCCCCCTTCCTCCCCCCACCCTCCCTCCCAGGTGTTGCTATTCAACGTGTGGCAGACAGGCGGGCTGCCAGGCTTCAAGTTGGCTCTCTCTCCATCTCTCATTCACGTCTCTTTTCCCTCCTCACCCTTCTCCCCCCCCTTCCTCCCCCCACCCTCCCTCCCAGGTGTTGCTATTCAACGTGTGGCAGACAGGCGGGCTGCCAGGCTTCAAGTTGGCTCTCTCTCCATCTCTCATTCACGTCTCTTTTCCCTCCTCACCCTTCTCCCCCCCCTTCCTCCCCCCACCCTCCCTCCCAGGTGTTGCTATTCAACGTGTGGCAGACAGGCGGGCTGCCAGGCTTCAAGTTGGCTCTCTCTCCATCTCTCATTCACGTCTCTTTTCCCTCCTCACCCTTCTCCCCCCCCTTCCTCCCCCCACCCTCCCTCCCAGGTGTTGCTATTCAACGTGTGGCAGACAGGCGGGCTGCCAGGCTTCAAGTTGGCTCTCTCTCCATCTCTCATTCACGTCTCTTTTCCCTCCTCACCCTTCTCCCCCCCCTTCCTCCCCCCACCCTCCCTCCCAGGTGTTGCTATTCAACGTGTGGAAGACAGGCGGGCTGCCAGGCTTCAAGTTGGCTCTCTCTCCATCTCTCATTCACGTCTCTTTTCCCTCCTCACCCTTCTCCCCCCCCTTCCTCCCCCCACCCTCCCTCCCAGGTGTTGCTATTCAACGTGTGGCAGACAGGCGGGCTGCCAGGCTTCAAGTTGGCTCTCTCTCCATCTCTCATTCACGTCTCTTTTCCCTCCTCACCCTTCTCCCCCCCCTTCCTCCCCCCACCCTCCCTCCCAGGTGTTGCTATTCAACGTGTGGCAGACAGGCGGGCTGCCAGGCTTCAAGTTGGCTCTCTCTCCATCTCTCATTCACGTCTCTTTTCCCTCCTCACCCTTCTCCCCCCCCTTCCTCCCCCCACCCTCCCTCCCAGGTGTTGCTATTCAACGTGTGGCAGACAGGCGGGCTGCCAGGCTTCAAGTTGGCTCTCTCTCCATCTCTCATTCACGTCTCTTTTCCCTCCTCACCCTTCTCCCCCCCCTTCCTCCCCCCACCCTCCCTCCCAGGTGTTGCTATTCAACGTGTGGCAGACAGGCGGGCTGCCAGGCTTCAAGTTGGCTCTCTCTCCATCTCTCATTCACGTCTCTTTTCCCTCCTCACCCTTCTCCCCCCCCTTCCTCCCCCCACCCTCCCTCCCAGGTGTTGCTATTCAACGTGTGGCAGACAGGCGGGCTGCCAGGCTTCAAGTTGGCTCTCTCTCCATCTCTCATTCACGTCTCTTTTCCCTCCTCACCCTTCTCCCCCCCCTTCCTCCCCCCACCCTCCCTCCCAGGTGTTGCTATTCAACGTGTGGAAGACAGGCGGGCTGCCAGGCTTCAAGTTGGCTCTCTCTCCATCTCTCATTCACGTCTCTTTTCCCTCCTCACCCTTCTCCCCCCCCTTCCTCCCCCCACCCTCCCTCCCAGGTGTTGCTATTCAACGTGTGGCAGACAGGCGGGCTGCCAGGCTTCAAGTTGGCTCTCTCTCCATCTCTCATTCACGTCTCTTTTCCCTCCTCACCCTTCTCCCCCCCCCTTCCTCCCCCCACCCTCCCTCCCAGGTGTTGCTATTCAACGTGTGGCAGACAGGCGGGCTGCCAGGCTTCAAGTTGGCTCTCTCTCCATCTCTCATTCACGTCTCTTTTCCCTCCTCACCCTTCTCCCCCCCCTTCCTCCCCCCACCCTCCCTCCCAGGTGTTGCTATTCAACGTGTGGCAGACAGGCGGGCTGCCAGGCTTCAAGTTGGCTCTCTCTCCATCTCTCATTCACGTCTCTTTTCCCTCCTCACCCTTCTCCCCCCCCTTCCTCCCCCCACCCTCCCTCCCAGGTGTTGCTATTCAACGTGTGGCAGACAGGCGGGCTGCCAGGCTTCAAGCTGCTACTGCACTGCCTCTACCTCTCATCCTCCTCTCTCTTCCTCGTTTCTCCCCCTCTCCCGCGCCACCCCGCTTCCTCTTCTCAGGTGTTGCTATTCAACATGTGGCAGACAGGCGGGCTGCCAGGCTTCAAGTTGGCTCTCTCTCCATCTCTCATTCACGTCTCTTTTCCCTCCTCACCCTTCTCCCCCCCCTTCCTCCCCCCACCCTCCCTTCCAGGTGTTGCTATTCAACGTGTGGCAGACAGGCGGGCTGCTAGGCTTCAAGCTGCTACTGCACTGCCTCTACCTCTCATCCTCCTCTCTCTTCCTCGTTTCTCCCCCTCTCCCGCGCCACCCCGCTTCCTCTTCTCAGGTGTTGCTATTCAACATGTGGCAGACAGGCGGGCTGCCAGGCTTCAAGTTGGCTCTCTCTCCATCTCTCATTCACGTCTCTTTTCCCTCCTCACCCTTCTCCCCCCCCTTCCTCCCCCCACCCTCCCTCCCAGGTGTTGCTATTCAACGTGTGGCAGACAGGCGGGCTGCCAGGCTTCAAGCTGCTACTGCACTGCCTCTACCTCTCATCCTCCTCTCTCTTCCTCGTTTCTCCCCCTCTCCCGCGCCACCCCGCTTCCTCTTCTCAGGTGTTGCTATTCAACATGTGGCAGACAGGCGGGCTGCCAGGCTTCAAGTTGGCTCTCTCTCCATCTCTCATTCACGTCTCTTTTCCCTCCTCACCCTTCTCCCCCCCCTTCCTCCCCCCACCCTCCCTCCCAGGTGTTGCTATTCAACGTGTGGCAGACAGGCGGGCTGCCAGGCTTCAAGCTGCTACTGCACTGCCTCTACCTCTCATCCTCCTCTCTCTTCCTCGTTTCTCCCCCTCTCCCGCGCCACCCCGCTTCCTCTTCTCAGGTGTTGCTATTCAACATGTGGCAGACAGGCGGGCTGCCAGGCTTCAAGTTGGCTCTCTCTCCATCTCTCATTCACGTCTCTTTTCCCTCCTCACCCTTCTCCCCCCCCTTCCTCCCCCCACCCTCCCTCCCAGGTGTTGCTATTCAACGTGTGGCAGACAGGCGGGCTGCCAGGCTTCAAGCTGCTACTGCACTGCCTCTACCTCTCATCCTCCTCTCTCTTCCTCGTTTCTCCCCCTCTCCCGCGCCACCCCGCTTCCTCTTCTCAGGTGTTGCTATTCAACATGTGGCAGACAGGCGGGCTGCCAGGCTTCAAGTTGGCTCTCTCTCCATCTCTCATTCACGTCTCTTTTCCCTCCTCACCCTTCTCCCCCCCCTTCCTCCCCCCACCCTCCCTCCCAGGTGTTGCTATTCAACGTGTGGCAGACAGGCGGGCTGCCAGGCTTCAAGCTGCTACTGCACTGCCTCTACCTCTCATCCTCCTCTCTCTTCCTCGTTTCTCCCCCTCTCCCGCGCCACCCCGCTTCCTCTTCTCAGGTGTTGCTATTCAACATGTGGCAGACAGGCGGGCTGCCAGGCTTCAAGTTGGCTCTCTCTCCATCTCTCATTCACGTCTCTTTTCCCTCCTCACCCTTCTCCCCCCCCTTCCTCCCCCCACCCTCCCTCCCAGGTGTTGCTATTCAACGTGTGGCAGACAGGCGGGCTGCCAGGCTTCAAGCTGCTACTGCACTGCCTCTACCTCTCATCCTCCTCTCTCTTCCTCGTTTCTCCCCCTCTCCCGCGCCACCCCGCTTCCTCTTCTCAGGTGTTGCTATTCAACATGTGGCAGACAGGCGGGCTGCCAGGCTTCAAGTTGGCTCTCTCTCCATCTCTCATTCACGTCTCTTTTCCCTCCTCACCCTTCTCCCCCCCCTTCCTCCCCCCACCCTCCCTCCCAGGTGTTGCTATTCAACGTGTGGCAGACAGGCGGGCTGCCAGGCTTCAAGCTGCTACTGCACTGCCTCTACCTCTCATCCTCCTCTCTCTTCCTCGTTTCTCCCCCTCTCCCGTGCCACCCCGCTTCCTCTTCTCAGGTGTTGCTATTCAACATGTGGCAGACAGGCGGGCTGCCAGGCTTCAAGTTGGCTCTCTCTCCATCTCTCATTCACGTCTCTTTTCCCTCCTCACCCTTCTCCCCCCCCTTCCTCCCCCCACCCTCCCTCCCAGGTGTTGCTATTCAACGTGTGGCAGACAGGCGGGCTGCCAGGCTTCAAGCTGCTACTGCACTGCCTCTACCTCTCATCCTCCTCTCTCTTCCTCGTTTCTCCCCCTCTCCCGCGCCACCCCGCTTCCTCTTCTCAGGTGTTGCTATTCAACATGTGGCAGACAGGCGGGCTGCCAGGCTTCAAGTTGGCTCTCTCTCCATCTCTCATTCACGTCTCTTTTCCCTCCTCACCCTTCTGCCCCCCCTTCCTCCCCCCACCCTCCCTCCCAGGTGTTGCTATTCAACGTGTGGCAGACAGGCGGGCTGCCAGGCTTCAAGCTGCTACTGCACTGCCTCTACCTCTCATCCTCCTCTCTCTTCCCCCCTAGATCCCCTCCCGCGCCACCCCCGCTTCCTCTTCTCAGGTGTTGCTATTCAACATGTGGCAGACAGGCGGGCTGCCAGGCTTCAAGTTGGCTCTCTCTCCATCTCTCATTCACGTCTCTTTTCCCTCCTCACCCTTCTCCCCCCCCTTCCTCCCCCCACCCTCCCTCCCAGGTGTTGCTATTCAACGTGTGGCAGACAGGCGGGCTGCCAGGCTTCAAGCTGCTACTGCACTGCCTCTACCTCTCATCCTCCTCTCTCTTCCTCGTTTCTCCCCCTCTCCCGCGCCACCCCGCTTCCTCTTCTCAGGTGTTGCTATTCAACATGTGGCAGACAGGCGGGCTGCCAGGCTTCAAGTTGGCTCTCTCTCCATCTCTCATTCACGTCTCTTTTCCCTCCTCACCCTTCTCCCCCCCCTTCCTCCCCCCACCCTCCCTCCCAGGTGTTGCTATTCAACGTGTGGCAGACAGGCGGGCTGCCAGGCTTCAAGCTGCTACTGCACTGCCTCTACCTCTCATCCTCCTCTCTCTTCCTCGTTTCTCCCCCTCTCCCGCGCCACCCCGCTTCCTCTTCTCAGGTGTTGCTATTCAACATGTGGCAGACAGGCGGGCTGCCAGGCTTCAAGTTGGCTCTCTCTCCATCTCTCATTCACGTCTCTTTTCCCTCCTCACCCTTCTCCCCCCCCTTCCTCCCCCCACCCTCCCTCCCAGGTGTTGCTATTCAACGTGTGGCAGACAGGCGGGCTGCCAGGCTTCAAGCTGCTACTGCACTGCCTCTACCTCTCATCCTCCTCTCTCTTCCTCGTTTCTCCCCCTCTCCCGCGCCACCCCGCTTCCTCTTCTCAGGTGTTGCTATTCAACATGTGGCAGACAGGCGGGCTGCCAGGCTTCAAGTTGGCTCTCTCTCCATCTCTCATTCACGTCTCTTTTCCCTCCTCACCCTTCTCCCCCCCCTTCCCCCCACCCTCCCTCCCAGGTGTTGCTATTCAACGTGTGGCAGACAGGCGGGCTGCCAGGCTTCAAGCTGCTACTGCACTGCCTCTACCTCTCATCCTCCTCTCTCTTCCTCGTTTCTCCCCCTCTCCCGCGCCACCCCGCTTCCTCTTCTCAGGTGTTGCTATTCAACATGTGGCAGACAGGCGGGCTGCCAGGCTTCAAGTTGGCTCTCTCTCCATCTCTCATTCACGTCTCTTTTCCCTCCTCACCCTTCTCCCCCCCCCTTCCTCCCCCCACCCTCCCTCCCAGGTGTTGTTGCTATTCAACATGTGGCAGATGGCAGACAGGTGGGCTGCCAGGCTTCAAGTTGGCTCTCCCTCACCTCTTTCTCTCTCCTCCGCCCACTTCCTCTTCCCCACTCTCACCCCTCCCCTCCCTTTCACGTGTTGCTATTCAACATATGGCACTGCCTCCCCCTCTCTCTTCTCCCTAACCTCTCATTCGCTTTCCCCCCGTCTACTCCCCCCCCTCCCCCCCCACCTCTTTCTTTTTTTTCTCAGGTACTGCTGTTCAACATCTAGCAAATAGGCGAGTTGCCGAGCTTTAAGCTGCCACTGCAGCCGGACATGCAAAAGGCTCACCTCTTCTCCATCTACCTCATTCTGCCGCTCCTTGCATGCACACTCGCTCTCCTCGTATTTAACTGGTGAGTGACCGTGAGTCTTTGAATCCACACCAAGCCCACCTCGTCAAGTCAAGCTGCCACTGCAGCCGGACATGCAGCAGGCCCACCTCTTCTCCATCTACCTCATCCTGCTGTTGCTTGCCTGGACGCTCGCCCTACTGGTCTTCAATTGGTGAGGTGAGGCGTCAACTGGAGTAGCTGGAAACACACCTTTTCTCCATGCACCTTAAGTTTTGTGGCAGTTTGTTTGCTTGTTTTTTTTTTTGTTTTTTTTCCCTTTCTCCTTTTTTATTTATTTTCTTTTTTCCCGGGTGTTTTCGGGTAATTTCACTCCGCTTCTTCCCCTCCCTCACGTCTCTTCCCCCATCTCCCTTCACTCATCTCTCCCCTCCATTCATCCTTCGCCCATCTCCCAGGTACCCCTCGCAGGTCTTTGTGGGAGACACGTTCACGTACTTTGCAGGAATGACACTGGCTGTGGTCGGCATTTTGGGCCACTTCAGGTGACCGCTCCAGTTCAGAAGCTTGTGCTTATCAATGTCCGTGTGTGATGAGCCTAGTTTTGAGTTTACTCAAAACTAGTATCAATGTCAGTGTGTGATGAGCCTAGTTTTGAGTTTACTTTGATAGATTCATCAATTTCTTCATTTCAATCTAATCCAGCAGTTTGTTATCAGTCCATCGGTCTCGTATCAATTGACCCCCTCTTTTCCTTACTGCATTGCATTGTCAGCTACCACTCTATCCCCTTCAACTGCATCACACCCTCTTCCCTTACCTTCTCCTTTTCTCCCTTCCCTTTCAACAGTGAGACACTCCTGTTGCTTTTCCTCCCTCAGGTCATCAATTTCATATACTCCCTTCCCCAGGTGTGTTGCCATTTTCTAGAATTGTCACTACTACTTAGTTCCACACGTGCGTTATCTATGTCGAATTTTTGCGGTGAACTTCTAAGTATCGCCTGCCCCAAACATCGCCTGCCCAAAACATCGCCTACCCAAGTTCGTCTATGCAACCTTTTCCCTCATCCCTTCCCCCCCCCTGCACCCTATCCCTCCCCATCCCCCTTTGCCCCTCGCCCCGACCCTTCCCTATGTCCCTTGTTATCCCTTCTCAGCTCTTCAAGTTCGTGCCGTGTCCAAGACATCGCCTACCCAAGTGAGTACCGTGCCTTTGCACTTCGTGAAGAAAGGTCCGGTTTCAGATTTGTCAATACTCCTCTCAGCTCTTCAAGTTCGTGCCGTGCCCAAGACATCGCCTGCCCAAGTGAGTACCATGCCTTTGCGCTCCGTGATGAGAAATTGGCTTTCATGCATCTTAAACCTCATCTCAGCTCTTCAAGTTTGTGCCATGCCCAATGCATCGCCTGCCCAAGCGAGTGTCATGCATTTGCATTCCCTTTCAGTGAAGCTTCACATCTCAATTTGGTGACTTTTGAGTCGACTCAAAAGTCACCTCAGTGTCATGCGTTTGCATTCCCTTTTAGGGAAGCGAGACATATCAATTTGAATGAGAACACGATCAAAGAAGCGCGGGGCATGAAGTGCCTACATGAGAGCATGTTCAAACTTGCATTTTACCTCGAATGAACCAGTTTCTGGTCAACTATCTCAAGAGGGTATGGCGCTGCTCCATTTGCTATGAAAAGCTGCTGTGGTCCGAGCTCGTCCTAGGTGGCTTCAGTAAGTACAACCATCGTTTTCTTGAATGTTATGGTGCCTGTTTATGAAGCGTGCACAAATCACCAGTACAACCATTCTGTGCGATTCAACTCATCTATACTACTTTCGGTACGATTCACAAGGAACGGTTGTAAGAGTGAGTGTGCACGCTTTGAAGAGAGTCATTTCAAGATTCATTAACAGGGTGGTTGTACTGAAGCCATCCAACAAGGGTTTGGATTCGGACAACGTCAACTTTTGGTAGCAGATACGACAACGCCATGCCCTCTTGAGATTCTTGACCGGGCCTTGGTTTATCCGTGTGTGATGAGGCGATTTTTGAGTCGACTTAAAAATCGCCTCATCACACACGGATTATTTGAGGTAGGATGCAAGTCTAACGTGCTCTTGTGTGAGCACTTCTTGCCCTGCATCGGCACCTGTATAGAGACAAAAGGGAACATAGAATGGAAGGATTTGAATGATCACCCCAGGGCTTTAGGATGGGAAAATCGTAAGAGGTTAGCAAATGTGTTGGAACAGTTGAGGCTCGGCTGTTCGCTGATGAATTGCTGCTTGGCAAGAGAGTTGAATCCCTTTCTTTCTACATACCCTGTTCCCCTCTCCAGGTTCGATCTGACCACCTACCGCTTGACGGGCAGCAGCACTCAACGTGGCCAATCCCGTTTCATCGTCCCACCCCTCTCCCTCTCCCTCTCCCTCGTGCTCCCTATCCTTGTACTTTGCTCCCCACACCAGGTTCGACCCGGCCACACACCGCCTGACAGGCAGCAATGATCTCAACCTGGTCAACCTCTTCAGTTTCACCCTCTCTCTCACACCCCTTTCCCCTCTCTGCCTACGCCCTTCCCCACACCAGGTTCGACCCGGCCACCCATCGCCTGACAGGCAGCAACGATCTGAATCTCGTCAACCTCTTCCTGCGCCTCTTCGGCCCGTGCACCGAGGAGCAGCTCTGCATCCGCCTGCTGCTCTTCCAGGTGCCACATTCCCTTTTTTTTTTTTTTTTTTTTTTTTTTTTTTGCCGTCTGCAAATGACATGATATACGCATGAGCAAGGGCGAGCACAAGGTTGTGGCTTATATCTTCTCCCCCACTCCATCCCACACTTCTCCTTTCTCCATTCTCTCCTTTCTCCATTGTGTCTGATATCCACAGGTATCCCTTGCAGTCCATTGGGGACCACGCATGGCATTTCACGCCATCGCACGGCACTGCCGAGCATTGCTGCAACACCCCCCTTCACTTTCACTTCCCCGTTCTCCTCCTCTTGCACCCCTCTCCCCCCTCCCTTTGATGTTTCCTCCCTCTCACATCCCTTGCAGATCCTTTATGCAATTCTCTGCTTCACTGCCTGTTTATTCCTTCAAGGCGTGTATAAATGAAGAAGTGCAACGAGAGACTAAACTGTAATGTGATGCAACTTTCTCGAAATTAAATTTGCACATGTATAATGCGTGTGTTGGAATCTCCTGATTTGTCCTGGTGGGAATGAACCTGAGTTAGTCGGATGGTCTTTATAAACATGATGGCGTGGAATGAAAAAGGAGATTGATGTTTCACTGTTGAGTAAATATGGTGTTATGTAAGGAAGGCATTATGTAATGTAAACGGTTGTATGCTTGCAAGCTGGTACAGTACGATCATGAACTCGCCTCGCCAACCAACCAGCCGCGAAGTTCTACTCTCCACTTTCGGCTGCAGAAAAAAAAATAGTTGTAAGTCAAAAGCACTTTGCAGAGATCAGGACAGGTTATTACCGTATATCTCAATGGACAAGCGAACCCTGCCCAGGAAAAACGCTTCACACAGATCCATTTCTACACACGATGCTCAACCCCTGCGTGCGAATTTGCCCTGCCCAGGATGGAAAGTCTGCACCCGTGTTTTTTTTACCAGCCAGTTGCACCCACATTACAAGCCCCTCGAGCAAGTTGCAGTGGTTATGAACCAATACGAACCACAGAAACCGAAGTCAAACAGAAGAGACTGAAGCCAAACTGTCAACGGGGAGTTACAATTTTTTTATAAGCCCTTTTTTGCTAGGTGCGACGTTGACAAAATTTGCGAAATGCCCAGAATCACTTAAAAGCCACCTTCACAAGGCAACCAGGCCTCTCGTTATCAGGGTAAAATACCCTTTTTGCACTGACTGGCGGCCGCTTTTTTTCAGTTACCCTTTCACAGGCAGGGTAGTGGAATTTTTACCCTAGGCCAGAAAGTGTAAGGTTTTCAATACCCTTTGAAAAACAGCATAACGAACACATTACGCTGACTGTACAGTGTACAATCCCAGCTATACTGGTACCGAGTGCTCCGTATCGAAACGAAACACTATACAGACCCCTGCAAAATGATCCCAACAACGAGATTCGAGCCTGAGATCTTTCAATTCTAATTCGTGATCAAACTAGCTGAACTACTATATTAAGCTTGTGTACTTTGGCGTTTTCCATATACTATAGTTTTAAAAATACCCAGCCCAAACAGACTAACTGTTTTTTTACCCTGCATTTGTCAGGGAATTTTTTTTTTTACCCTGCACATCAGGGTTGACTATACCTAGAACCCTGATTACTAAGGGTGGCCCAAAACGAATCTGAAGCCCTGAAGGCAACCTTGGGTTAGTCAAACGAGCATCGTGTGTACAGTATTTGTACAGTACCACTAAGTCACTCTTCCGTACGTTTACGTTTCGAATGCCCAAACCTTTCGCACCCATTGCCCGTACGGTTTCTAGAAACTGGAAAGCAGCCTTCAGATGAGTACCCAAGCAGTAACTCGCGAGGGAGGTTTTGAACCCTCCCATTTTCAAGATGAGCATCGTCGCTTCGCCGTTGAACAGATGGTCGAAGCGCGTCCGCGTGGGCGTCTTCGCGTTTTACGTCCTGACTCCCGTTATAGTGGCGTTTCTCGTGCTGAAGCTTGATCTGTTAGTACGATGGTCTATTACAATCTGTCAGAACATTATAGCTTTTACATTTGTGTAGGCTATAGTGGGGTAGCTCATAAGGGGTACAACCCAATTAGGGTTAGTACTTGTACCCAAATCTTTGCTAGTTCATTCGTTCTCGTTCATTATTTTGACATGGTTTCAGAGCAGGTCCTTCGCTAGGACCATTTTTTTTTTTCCTTGGACCCACCACTACCCTGCCCCTAGGCCCGTCGCCCCTAGGCCCGTCGACCCTAGCCTACGCGCGCCCGGCCCGTCGACCCTAGCCTACGCGCCCGGCCCGTCGCCCCTAGCCTACGCGCGCCCGACCCGTCGCCCCTAGTCTGCGTGCCCGGCCCATCGCTCCTAGCCTACGCGGCCCGTCGACCCCTAGCCCGCGGCCCGTCGACCCCTAGCCCAGCGCCCGGCCCCGTCACTAGCCCGCGCCCGGCCCCGTCGGCCCCTAGCCCGGCGCCAGGCCCCGTCACTAGCCCGCGCCCGGCCTCGTCAGCCCCTAGCCCCGTGCCCGGCCCCGTCACTAGCCCGCGCCCGGCCCCGTCGGCCCCTAGCCCCGCGCCCGGCCCCGTCCCTAGCCCCGCGCCCGGCCCCGTCGGCCCCTAGCCCCGCGCCCGGCCCCGTCGGCCCCTAGCCCCGCGCCCGGCCCCGTCCCTGGCCCCGCGCCCGGCCCCGTCCCTGGCCCCGCGCCCGGCCCCGTCGGCCCCTAGCCCCGCGCCCAGCCCCGTCCCTAGCCCGCGCCCGGCCCCGTCGGCCCCTAGCCCCACGCCCGGCCCCGTCGGCCCCTAGCCCCGCGCCCGGCCCCGTCCCTAGCCCGTGCCCGGCCCCGTCGGACCCTAGCCCCGCGCCCGGCCCCGTCCCTAGCCCGCGCCCGGCCCCATCTCTAGCCCCGCGCCCGGCCCCGTCGGCCCCTAGCCCCGCGCCCGGCCCCGTCCCTAGCCCGCGCCCGGCCCCCTGTCGACCCCTAGCCCGTGCACCCGCCCAGTCGACCCCTAGCCACTCAGCCCCTTAGCCCCACGGTCACTGCTGCTACTGCTACAGCTGCTACTGCTGCTCCTGCATACTGCACAGCTATGGCTTCGCTTCGGGTTCTTGCGTTTGATCATGAGGGTAGACCGGTTCAATTTGACACATGGCTCGACGACCTGCAGCTGTACCTACTGAGCGATTCTAAGGACAATGTCTCGCTGTTTGACCTAGTGTCAGGCGCTGCTACTGCCCCTCCCATCACAGCTGACAGTTCGACTCGCTCACAGTGGCTTACTCGCGACGCTGCTGCCCGCTTAGCCATTCGCAACCACCTGCCATTAGCTGAATGCGCTCACTTCGGACAGCACAGGACAACACAGATGCTGTACGACGTTGTAGTCGCTCACTACTCCTCCCCTGCCACTGCTGCTCTAGGCCACCTCCTTCTTCCCTACCTGTTCCCCGAGCTGTCCGCCTTTACCACAGTCGAGGACCTTCTTTCTCACCTTCGCGCTAGTGACACTCACTACCGCGCTGCCGTTCCTGCTGAGTTCATTGACAGGAACCCGCCCCCGATGTACATCACTCTCTAGTTTATAGTCACCCGCCTCCCTGACTCTCTTCGCTCTGTCAGGGACCACTTCCTCTCTCTTGACCCCACCTCCCTCACAGTTGACCTCCTCGAGCCGCATCTCCTCGCAGCTGAGACTAGTGCAGTTGCTGTAGGTGCTGCTCGTGGCACTCCGCGGCAGCCCTTCTTTGAGGGGTGTTCCCCCTCCCCCCTTGCCCCCTCCTACGCCTTTGCTGCTGCTGCAGACGTCTCTATTCCTAAGGACGTCGGGGCTCCTTCTGCTAGTGCGAAGCGCCGCAGCAGCAAGGGCAAGGGTGGCCGGGGTGGTGGTGGTGGCAGCGGCGGTGGTGGAGGTGGCAGTGGGAGTGGTGGTGGGGGCAGCAGTGGAGGTGGTGGCGGTGGTGGGACTGTTGGCGGGAGTGGGGGCTTTGGTGGCGGTGGTGGAGGCAGCGGTGGGAGTGGCGGCAGTGGTGGCGGTGGGACTGGCGCTCGGCGTGTCGGTTCTGGGGGTGGCCAGCGTCAGCAGCAGTAGCGTCGGAGCAAGACCCCGTCTCCCCAGCAGCTTCGTGAGTGGTTTCTGCATGGGGCGTCTGGGGGTAGTTGCCCGTATGTCATTCGCACGGGTGATCGTGCTGGTCAGACTTGCGGGAGGCTCCACACTCAGCACCGCTGCTTCTCCCGCCTTGACGACGCTTGGCGTGCTGAGTTTGGTGACGACGTCGAGCTCCCTCGCTGGGCAGATCTGCTTAAGTCTAGGATTGCTATCTTTGACCTAGACTTTGATGCTATTCTTTCTGCTATGTATGCTTTGTCTATTAGTGCTGAGGGTGACTGTTACCGGTGTGTGCCGCCTGACCCAGGTATAGCCGCTGCTGCTCTAGGTGCTAGTGAGTCTGGTACTCTCCTTGGTACTGCGCCTGCTGAGGCCTTGCACACCTTCACGTTGGACTCAGGCGCCTCGCGCTGTTTCTTTCGTGACAGCACCACCCTCACTCCTCTTCCTACACCTGTCCCGGTGCGACTAGCTGTCCCCTCTGGGGGACCGGTCGTGGCCCATTCCTCCACTGTCCTCCCGTGTCTGGCGGTTCCGTCCGGCTCACTGTCAGGTCTTCACCTCCCCTCGTTCTCTACGAACTTGGTGAGTACCGCTGCCCTCCAGGATGCTATGGTCACTACCACCACTCCTGGGGGTCAGCGTGTGTCGATCTGCACGTGCACACGGACGGGACGTCACCTGGCCACGTTCACTCGTCGGCCAGGGTCGAGTCTGTACACACTCGCTACCGGGCCTTCTCAGGTAGCTGCGTCTGCTCAAGTGTCCACGTTAGGTCAGGTAGCCGCCTCTTGCTCGTGTCGCCTCCTGTCGCACCAGACTCTTCTGTGGCACCACCGCCTTGGTCACCCCTCCCTGCCACGCCTTCGTGGCATGCACTCCCGTCTCCTTGTCACTGGTCTTCCCAGGTCTCTGCCTCCCCTCCCGCCCTCGCCTGCCCCGCCCTGCCTTCCTTGCGTCGAGGGGCGGTAGCGCGCCGCTCCTCACTCCTCCTCGTTTCCCCCGACGACTGTTCTGTCAAACATATATTTACTATAGTCGGTCTAGGCTTTAGTGGGGTAGTCTTAGAGGGTACAACACTTATGTGTTTCCTACTTGTACCCTTCTCATTTCCTAATTCAATCATTCTTTCGTCTATCATTCTCACATGGTATAGAGCTAGTTTCGAGATTTTTTAAAGGGCCCACCACTGAAATTTCTCCCCTGCCTACTTGCCGCGCGCTTCGCACCTTCCCTTCGAGGCCCGTCACGGCCCCTGCGCCCGCCCTTAGAGCCTGCGCCCGCCCCGTAAGGCCCCTTAAGGCCTCGTTAGGCCCCGTAAGGCCCCTTTAGGCCCCGTTTAGGG